TATTAAGACGAGTTAGAATTCGTGTGACACACTAGTCTTAAACCCACCCACCGTGAGCTTGAGGAATAGCCCAGCAGTAGCACCCCTGCCTAGAATTCTCCAGTGAGGGGCTGGGGGTGTGGCTGAGGGGTGGATCCCTGCCTAGAATCCCTCAATAGGGGCTGAAGGTGTGGCTTGGCTGAAGAACCCTGTCCAGAATCCCCCGGGGTCTCCTTCTAGTGCTCCAGAGTATGAAGGGAGAGGTCAGTGGGAGTAAACAGAAATTTGCCCTTTTTTTTCCTTTGGTGCTATGCCTTGTACACACTTAGCACAGCATATCTTAGGAGCTACAACCAAGGTCCCAAAGTTCTGTGCTTTTCATCTTAATTTTCTTCTGAACCTAAAGCTGGTCTAAAAAAAACTCTGCCTGTTAATTGGTGCCATAGCTCAGGGGGCAGAGGACTGGTCTGGCATGCCTGAAGCCCTGGGTCCCATCACTGGCACAAGAACCATGCATGCTGCCATAGGCCTGGAATACAGCACTCAGGACTCAAGAGGATCGTGAGTTTGAGGCCAGCCTGGTCTACATGAGACCTAAAACTCCTGGAGTTGGGTATGTCTGTAGTCCCAGCACTTGAGATATGGAGACAGAAGAATAAGGAGTTCAAGGTAATCTTTAGCTGCATAGAAAGTTTGAGTTCAGCCTAAGCGACATAAGATCAGCCTGGAGAAAATAAGTGAAGATTGGCATCAAGGGCATAGCTCAGTTGGTAAAGTGCTTTCCTAACATGCCCACAGCCTTGGGTGCCACCCGGGGCGCAGTGGGTGTGGTGGGGGGCACCTGTCATTCCACCATGGCGGTGGGAATGAGTTCTCAGTTTAGCAAGCAGCCCTGACCTATCTTAGTTCCTCCCTCCTAGAAGCCGTTGCCTTGAGTGGTGTTTGGATCAAACTCTTCTGGGCAGTTCTGGTTTGGCCCAGTGTCCTGCATCTCTCTGAGCTTTCTTGCAAAAGAACTCCCTGGAAAGCCTAACCTAGAAAACACCAGTACCCCATACTCTTCTAGAGCCTTCTGAATGAGTGGAGCCACTTCTTATAGATGGCTCAGATGCTCCAACTCCACATTTCCACATCATCTGACTCCATGCCAGTAGCCAGCAGAGGGCCTAAGTCACAGACCAGCGTGGGGAAATGCGTGGGAACGAGGCCATGATGATCGACTTAGTGCCAGCAGACTGTCCCACCGCAGATGCCCTCAGCTGTCCCTTTTGTTTCATATGTATGTATGTGTATTGAGCAGGTGTGTTTGGATGGGGGAGACCACACGGGGCATAATGCAAGGGCTTTGTGCACGTGTGTGTCTGCCCACATGGAGCCAGCCTGCCCTAAGGATCTAGTCTCTGCCTCCAGAATACTTTACCATCTTTTTAAATTTATTGTTTCTTGGTGGGGTGGGGATTGTCAAGACAGGATCTCACTACATAGCTCTGGCTGTCCTGGAACTCACTATGTAGACTAGGATGGTCTCAAACTTAGAGATCTGCTTGCTTCTGTCTCCTGAGTGCTGGGATTAAAGGCATCTTTAGCTGAGAAAGAGGCTTGATATGTAGTCCAGGCTGGCCTACACTAAGGCTCTTTGGGTTAGTCTTGTTTGCTGAAATAAAAGTATGTGTTGCCTGGCAGCTCCCAGACACCTGGATTCCTCAAGAGAAGGGTGAAGAGAATAGTTCTTTCAGCCTAGTTCACTATTCTGGGAGTCACAGGAACTTGGGTATGAGAATCTAAGTCCCATGGGACTTTCAGGCTCATTGCATATTAATTTACTTCCTGTTCCCCAAATTTTGAAGGAGTCATCCCAGGCAGATGTCATGCAGCAAACACCAGGGGATGATGGATAGGAGGGAGGGTTCTGACTAAATTGGTCTGGGTTTGTTTTTGGAGTGTGGCGCTGGAATCCAGGGTCTCCTGTATGTTAACTAATCAAGAGCTCTACCAACAAGCCATCCTGAGTTCCACATTGGGGAAGTCCAGGCAGGGGCTCCACCCACACTGCTATTCCTTTAGAAATGCTTATTTTGGGCTGGGGTGATATCTCAGCAGGCAAGATGTCTATTGCCAATTCTGACACCTTGAGTTCAATTCCTGGGACCCACATGGTAGGAGAGAAACAGCTCCCTCAAGTTGACAGCTGTCCCCTCACCTCCACATATATGCTGGGTACGCACAAAATAAATAAAGGAAAATGAATTGTGCTGAGCAGTGGTGCCACACGCCTTTAATCTCAGCACTCAAGAGGCAGAGACAGGTGGATCTCTGAATTTGAGGTCAGCCTGGTCTACAGAGTGAGTGCCCAGATATCCAGGCTACATAGAGAAACCCTGACTCAAAACAAAACACCACACACACACACACACACACACACACACACACACACACACACACACACACACTTTTTTTCCCCTGAGGGCCAGAAAGATGGCTTATGGTGTAGCAGGTAACAATACTTGCAAGTTCAATCCCTGGGACCCACGTGGTCAAAGGAAAGATCTGAAACCTGAATTGTCCTCTGACCACCACATATGTGCAAGTAGCACTTCATACACACAATAAATAAACAAGACGTAATAGTGAAAACTTTAATACCATTTCATTTTGAGACAGGATCTGGCTAAGCTGTTCAAGCTGGCCTTGAACTTGCAATCCTTCTGCCTCTGCTTCTTGAGGAGGTGGGATAACAGGTGGGTACCACTGCACCAGGTTGAGGTTGAGATTTATAGTGGCTGGCTTCAAACTGAGAGCTTCACCTGCCCCTGCCTCCCAAGTGCTGGCATTAATTTTGTTTTTGTTTTTCGAGACAGGGTTTCTCTGTATTGTCTAGGGTTTCTCTGTATTGTTTTGGAGGCTGTCCACCTGCATCTGCCTCCTGAGTGCTGGGACTAAAGGCATGCGCCACCAATGCCCGGCTAATTTTTTTTAAGGTTTTTTTTTCGAGACAGGGTTTCTCTGTGGCTTTGGAGGCTGTCCTAGAACTAGCTCTTGTAGACCAGGCTGGTCTTGAACTCACAGAGATCCACCTGCCTCTGCCTTCCGAGTGCTGGGACTAAAGGTTGCGCCACCACCACCTGGCTGGAAATGAACTTTAAAAATGTAAGGCAAGGGCTGACTGCACAAAGTGGTCCTGTCTTGCACATGCTCTCTGTGGTATGTCTGTAGACATGCACTGATGATGATGATGACTGAAAATATTGTAAAACACAATAACATGAAGGGGGAAGTGAGTGACTTTGGGTAAAGATACTTGCTGTGCTGCCTTGAGTACAATCCCTACGACCCACACACTAGGAGGAGGATAGCTCTGTGAAGTTGTCCTCTGCACACACGGTGACACACACACAATGGAAAGTTAAACATTATAATACTGAATCCCCCCCCCATTTCAGCACACTTCTTACTAAGTCCATCCCAGGGGCTTCTGCCTCCTCTAGTAGATCTTGGGATCTGCTGGGTTCCACAGAAGCCACCAGGAATTCTTCCCCAGAGAAACCCCGTTTCTCCAAACAAAAGCACAAATGAGGACTTTGACTTGCAAAATCAAGGCTCTCCCGAGCAGCGTTTAGAGACAGATTCATTCTGTGCACAGGGAAGAAAACACAGCTCAGATGCCTGACAAGTCATGCCAGTCCCTTTGCATAAGAGCATGTATTTATGCTTGTAAAGACACGTGTACAAGCTCATTGAGAAAGCGCTGGAAATGGGTCTATGTGAAGCAAACAGGAACACTTTTTTTAAGCTTGATTTTTTTCCCCCTTCCACTTTGTGGGCCATCTTGAAGGCCTCCCATTTTTAAGTAAACATACCAGGCTATTTTTGTCACCTTAAAAAGAATTAATTCACATATCTACCCACGAAGGGTCCTACACTTTCTTGGAAGGAAAATCTCCTGTCCCTCAAACTCGCAGTTTCTGTAGGATAACTAAAACTACACGACACAATTGCTTATGCTGAACTTGTGTAAAAATAGAACACTCCAGGGAGACATTGTTTATTTATTTATTTTTGAGATAGTCTGTAGTCAAAGTGGCCAGGAACTCACCATGTATACAGCCCTGGCTGTCCTGGAATTAGTTTTGCTGTCCACCTGCCTCTATGTTCTGAGGTTATCGATGTGAGCTACATTTGTCCTCATTAAAACAGAACGGTTGGAGGAAGGGCGGGGGAGCATCGAGATGGCTCAGCTGCTAAAGGAGCTTGTCTACACCACAACTCTTGACTACCAGACTTCCATCGTGGATCCAGAGGAAGAACGCAGAAAAACGTCTCCTACAAATTCTCCTCTGACCTCCGCACATGGCCACAACACACAAATAAATAAAAGTAACTGGTTTTTTTTTTAATCAAAGAAGTCGGGTCTATCCTCCCGTGATTCTTGAGAGCAGGCTGACCCAAAGTTGCCCTGTCCTGGAACCGCTTCGTTCCCTAAGTGGAAAGGATCCCAGGCCATCTGACCGAGCCGACAAACGGGAAGGGGAGGGGAGAAGAGGATGCCAAAAGATGCCCTGCAGAGGGGACACCGGTGTCACTTTCCCCGAACCTGATCGCAGCCCCCAGCTCGGCCAGTCCTTATATAGTCACCGGGCAGTCACTCCAAGGGCGTGAAGGGAGGTCACGGCAGCCGACGTCCAGAATATCTGACCTCGCCCCGGCAGGGCCGACCCTTGCTTGCGACCTTCGCCACCATCAATGCCCCTTGCCGGAGTTCAAGTTCTAACGTGTCTCCTGGCCTTTCCCCACCTCCACGGCACCTGCCCTCCCTACAGTAAGCAAGCGCCCTCCTCTCCTTCCCTCCCACCCACGTGCAGCCCCCTTGCCACAGCTCCTCCGTCCCCGAGGTCCCTCCTCCACCTGCGCGCCGGGAGCACTCTGCCTCCTCCGCTCTCCAGACCCGGGATCAGACCTGCCTCCTCCTCTGCGTCTCCGTCGTCAAGGCTCCGGCGACCGCCGTGCTGGGAGCCCGTACTCACCTGGCTCATACTTCAGGTAGATGATGGAGACGATGAAGTAGCTGAGGTCGAAGACTGGGAAGAGCGGCACCCGCGAGAAGCTGAGCGCTAGCTCTCCCAGGCTCAAGGCAGACAGCAGGTCCATGGCGTCGGCGGGTGCGTCCCCAGCCCCTGGCCCCGAGCGTCCCGCCGCCCGCCACCGGGCGACTGCGCCCCGGCCCCTGAGCCCGCCCCGCTGCCAGGCACCGCCCCGGCCCGGCCCCGAGAGAGGAGGGGCGATGAGGCCGCCCACCCCACCGAGCGCGACGCACCGGGCACCGAGAACGTCCGAACCCGGCTACGCCGGCCCTACCCCACCGCCGGCCCACTCACGCGGGACTCGGGTCGTCTCCTCTGCGTGGGGCGAATCAGGGCTCCCCTTCCCCCGCACCCTCCCACCTGTCAATCAGGAGGATCCCCGCCCTAGCAGACCGCGGTCAGGAATTTCGTGTTTGTGTTTTGAGACAGGGTTTCCCCGTGCAGCCCTGGCTGTCCTGGAACCCGCCGTGTAGACCAGGCTGGCCCTGCCTCCCGAGTGCGGGGATTGAGGCGTGCGCCGCCACCGCCCGGCTTCGCGTTTTATTCCTGAGCTCGTGTCAGAACCCCGCCTCCCACAAGGCGGCTTCAACCCAAACCCTCATGTCCTCGGTGCCGTCTCTCCTAGAGGTCAGAGCCAGCCCCGACCCCGGCGCCCCGTGAGGCCCCCAGGTCAGGGCGTGCAACCCCGGCAGGGGGACCCCGGCCCCCGCGGCGCGCACTCGCAGCTGCCCGCAGCCCCATGCGGCCCGAGGAGCCGGGGCACCCGCATCCCGTCTCGGGGCGGCTCAGCGGCCAAGGGCGGGCAAACTTCCGCAGACGCGGGACCCGACGCCCGGCCAGCGGTACAGCAGACTCCGCAGCACGGAAAAGCCCCAGCACGCAGCACCGCGCAAGCGCGCACCCAAGCCCCGCCCCGTGGGGGCCACCACGCCACACCCTCCCTCCAGCCCTGTCAAGGTTGATTCAGTATTGGTCGCCTCGCGTGATTCTTCCCGCCCCCTCGCTGCTTCCGTTTCCGGTTCTGGCGCCCGCCACGGCTGTAAGGATGATCGGAGACATCCTGCTGTTTGGGTAATAAGTGAGGGGTGTCAGAGGCTGGAGAGTGGCAGCCAGGCGGGGGTGGGTGGCCTTAGTGACCGTACCCATCCCTCCACAGGACGCTGCTGATGAACGCCGGGGCTGTGCTCAACTTTAAACTGTGAGTAGGCCGCGCAGGGCGGCGTCCCCACGGCCAGGCCCCGCCCTGCCCCGAGCGTGGCCACGCCCCTCTAGCCCCCCAGCCCCGCCCCCGTGCCGCTTTCCCAGGCTTTGACAGTCTGCACCACTCCTGGACGGTAGTTAGGTCTGTGCGCTCTAGGCCCGGAGGTGGCTCATCGGGGAAGGGCGCTTGCCGCCAAGCCCGAGTTCGATTCCCGGAGCCCGCACCGTAGAAGATGAGAACCGAGTCCTGTGGGTTGTCCTTTGACCTCCGCACAAATGCTGTAGCATGGCACACTCCTCTCACGCACGAATTGTTATTATTAAACAAAAATCGGCACCCTCTGTTCCTGGGGTGTCCTGCTTGCATCTCCAAAGAGCCCCTGGCGTATCCCTCAAGAATGGTTTTTTGGTGTTTGGAGCCACCCTGATTACGCTGTCTGTGGCTGCACACCCCCCTGTGATGGGCTAGGCTGGCAGTGCCCCTGAGAGGGCTGTATTGCTGCCCGGGTCATGACCTCCAAGCTGGGTGTCAGGGTCAGGAGCCCCAGGGTGTTTATGTTCCACGGAGTGGGTGTCATGTGCTGTTGTTTATAGGAAAAAGAAGGACACGCAAGGCTTCGGGGAGGAGTCGCGGGAGCCCAGCACAGGTAAGCCCGGCTTCCTGCCGCCTGCACTTGCGGAGTCTGTCCCGCAGCCGTGCTTTCCCATCTCCTTCCGTTCACTGTTGAGACGTGCTCTCCTGAGCCCGGAACGACAGGAGTGCCATGCCCTGGGCATCGCGATATGTGTGCCCACCATGTGCGCTCTGACGGCGTGGGTGGAAGAGGGAGGCGCTACCCTGTGGGACTCACCACGGGGACTCCGAGGGTGCTGCCGGAAGCACGGGTGATGGGGCAGAGGCTCTTTTGGTGACCAGCGATAGAGCATTGCCTGAGGTTGGTAGGAGCAAGAGTCAGGACTGGAAACTGGGTTTTCTTTTGTCTTTTCTCTGATTTGGAGGCAGGGACTCATGGATCCTGGGCTGGTCTCAGTTTTACTTGTAGCCTAGAATAGCCTCAAGCCCCTGGGCCTGCTGCCTCTGTCCCTGAACGCTGGCTGGGGTTCCTGGTCCCTGTCACCGCTCCTGGTTTATCAGGTAGGTGCTGGCGATGGAACCCGGGGTTTATGCATTCTGGGCTCCCTTCCTTTCATCCATCCATCCATCCATGCACCCGTCCTCGTAGCTGTCCCTAAGGCTACAGTACCCTTTCCTCCGTGGGTGCACTGTCTCAGGCCCCGGGCGGTGCTCCGCTGATGTGACCTGTGGTGACTGGGAGTTGGGAGCTAGAGCTCACTGCTGTGGGTGACAGCCATGGGGCAAAGGGCACCTCTGCCCTCTCCCAGCATGCTTTGCTCCCAGTGGCCTCCTCCAGCTGTGCTCCTCCTGCTCTTCCCTGTCTGGCACCCATGCCCTGATGGCAGGATTTTAATTTTATGTATGTGTCAGGGAGTGCTTGTGGTGTCACGCAAAGGACATCTGCAGAAGTCCATTGTCTCTTTCTGTCTTGTGGGTCCTGGGCATCAAACTCAGGTCATCAGGCTTGGTGACAAGTACTCTTTCCCGCAAAGCCATCTTGCAGGCCCCCCGTGGTTGCGTGTTTGCTTGTCTGTCTGTGTGGCGAGTTCACGGTAGAGGTCAGGAGACACCGTGTGTGGGTCGTCTTTCTTCCATGGGGTGCTAGGGCTTGAACTCAGGTCCCAGGTTTGGTAGCACGTGCCTTCGCCCAAGGCGTCTCACCTTGGTGCTGCATTTCACAAACACACAAGCCAGGCCCTGGCCCATCGTTGCAGCCATCCATGCACACAGGAGGGTGTGTGCCCGCTGACAGTTCAGGGGCTAGCCCGAGCACCCTTGCAGAAGGGCGGGGCTGAGTTCATGCTGCAGTCAACCTTTGCAGCTCCTTGGTTCCCCAACACCTGAGGCTTCCTACCAGCCGCCCCGGGGGCTTGGTAGACATTGTCCCGGCTGCCCTGAAGCATCTCTGGGTGTGTGAGCATGTCTTGTTCTCCCTGTGTGTCTGAACAGAGGAACCATGGCCTGGTCCACTGTGAGCATCCTGTTTGGGAGGATTCTAAGTTTTTCTTTTTTATTAGAGAGTATGAGCATATGGGGCGGGGGGGGGGGGGACACACGGACGGAAGGACGGACGGACGGACGGTGCTGTGGCCCTGGGTGGAGCTCAGATGAAAACTGGAATCTCTCTCCTCTCTACCTTTATGTGAGTCCCAGGTTGACCTCTGGTCACCAGACTGGCACGTAAGTGTCTTGACCTACTGAGCCACCTGGCAGCCTGGCACAAGGGTTGGGCTCTGCTCATTGGCGCTTTCCAAACACTAGAGGTAGACCTCTCCTCGAATCCCTGTCCCTGTCGCCTTGGTGCAGCGCAAAGACTGCTGTTGACAGACGGGGCTGCTGGCTGCGAGGGGGGGCCATGGTGACGTCACACTTAGAGGAGCAGGTGAGGTCATGGTGACATCACACTTAGAGAGAGGAGCAGGTGGAGTCATGGTGATGTCACACTTAGAGAGAGAGGAACGGGCGAGGTCATGGTGACATCACACTTAGAGAGAGGAGCGGGTGAGGTCACCGTGACCTCACACTTAGAGGGAGGAGCGGGTGAGGTCACGGTGACATCACACTTAGAGAGAGGAGCGGGTGAGGTCACGGTGACGTCACACTTAGAGAGAGGAGCAGGTGGAGTCATGGTGATGTCACACTTAGAGAGGAGCAGGTGAGGTCATGGTGACCTCACAATTAGAGGAGCAGGTGAGGTCATGGTGACATCACACTTAGAGAGAGGAGCGGGTGAGGGGGGCCAAGTGGCTGCGGATGGTTCCAACCTTGGATGGCTTACCAGGTGCTCATGGGCAGCCCCCCACCCCACCCCCCTCACCCCCGCAGGTGCTGTGTGGTGATGTTTCGTTTATGAGCTAACAAATAAAGCTTGTCTGAAGATCAGAGAAGCAAAGTGGCCAGCCACTAGAGAGCTCTCACCTCTCGCAATGCCCAGAGAAAGGGGTGATCCACTGAACCTCAGACAGCTTCTGACTGCAGTCTCCTCACACTGCCCTGAGCTCCTGTCTCCTCCCTCCTTATACTCCTCTCTGGTGCTGGGATTAAAGGCATGGGACCCCAAGTGCTCAGATCACATTTGTGTGAGCTCTGTTTCTCTTTTAGACTGGATCAGTTTTATGTCACTCAGGGTGGCCTTGAACTCACAGAGATCCGCCTACCTCTGTCTCCTGAGTGCTGGGATTAAAGGTGTACGCCACCACTGCCTGTCCTTTATGAGTAACTAGTGTGGCTGCTGGGATTAAAGGTGTGAAGCACGCCTTTAATCCCAGCACTCGGGAGGCAGAGGCAGGCGGATCTCTATGAGTTTGAGACCAGTCTAGTGTACAGAGAGAGCTCCAGGACCACTTCTATTATACTGAGAAACCCTGTCTTGAAAACCATAAATAAACTTTTAAAAAGTCAACATTTTAAAAAGCAACAAAACAATCAGCTAACCAAACCAGAGTGATGCTGGGTTCTGGGGCTCATGCTGCTCTCTGGGCCCCGTCCCACAGTCCAGAGATTGCAAGTTCTTGGTTAGGAAGCCTGGGCTTGATAACTAGAGCCCATGTCCCAGGACAGACCCTTATTGCACAGATTTAAGTCACATGCCCTTTTCTGGCACCAGAGGCTCTGGGGATTGGTGGTCCCCAGTGATTGTTCAGGAACTGCCACAGTTGGGGTGGCAGTGGGCAGTGTGACAGCTTTCTGAACCAAGCTTTCTGCTTTACAGGAGACAACATCCGGGAGTTCTTACTGAGCCTGAGGTACTTCCGGATCTTCATCGCCCTGTGGAATGTGTTCATGATGCTCTGCATGATTGTGTGAGTCCCGCACCGCCCGTGCGCACATACCTCCACAGTGCTCCTGACCGTTTCACAGTGCGCTTGCCCGTATGTAGGTCAGAGGACAGCTTCGAGTCGGTTGGTTCTCTCTTTCCCTGATGTGGGTCTGGGGATCTGGCTCAGGTTGCCAAGCTTGGCGGCAGGCACCCACTGATGCCTCTTGCCAGCCCCTAGTTGACTCTCAAGGGCTACCTCTGCTTCCAAAATAAGAACTTTGGAGGTGAGGACATTGGCCTCTTCCAGGCTGGTTGTAACTACGGTTGGAGTGTGGTCCCAGGTCCCAGCTGGCCATGTTTCTCCTACCCCTGCTATTGGTGTTAGCCTATAGCGGTTGGTGGCTCCCAGCCGGCAGGCTTGTCAACACCTTTTTTGAAGGCCTTGGTAGAAGCCAGCAGGAACAATTCACAATTGGCTTCTGTTTTATGACCACTCTCTTTGATTTGATTCATGTTTTTGGTTTTTTGAGACAGCATCTCATGGTGTAGCCCTGGCTGTCCTGGAACTCTCTCTGTAGACCAGGCTGGTCTTGAACTCAGAGATCCAGTTCTGGCATGATTTTATTTTATTTTGGGGGACAGAATCTGACTGTGTAGACCAGACTGCCCTCAAACTCATAATACCTCTGCCTCAGACTTGTCGGTCCTGGGACACAGGTGAGTGTGGCCACTGGGATGGCTTTTATGGATAGTGAGGTAGGGATCTGAATTCATTGCCTAGCAGGCTGACCTTAGTGTCAGCAGGCTCCTGGGACTAAAGTCCTGTGCCTCAATGTGCAACCAACAGGTTGTGGGTTTTTTTTTGTAATATTATTATTATTTTAAGATTTATTTATTTATTATGTATATAGCATTCTGTCTGCATGTATGCCTACAGGCCAGAAGAGGGCACCAGATTTCATTACTGATGGTTGTGAGCCACCATGTGGTTGCTGGGAATTGAACTCAGGACCTCTGGAAGAACAGCCAGTGCTCTTAACCTCTGAGCCATCTCTCCAGCCCTGTAGTATTATATGTGTGTGGAATGGGGGGTGCCCACATGTTACACAGAGCGCTGTGGAGGTCAGAGGACAGCCTGCAGGAGTTGGTTCTCTCCCTCTGCCGTGTCGATCCTGTGGCTGGAACTCGGGCCATCAGGTTGGGCAGCAAGCACCCTTACCTTCTGAGTCCTCCTGAGGACTCTAGGTGATGCTCCTGGACTACAACCCAACAGTGTGTTGAGGTAGTGCCTTGCTGTGGAGCCCAGGCTGGTCTTGAGTGTGTAGTCCTGCTTGGCCCTCAGCGCGCGGGAGTGGCCAGCATCACCGCACCTGGCGGTGGGCTAGGGTTTTTACAGCAGCCGCTTCCCATCCTCATGGCATTTCCTCCCTGACTTTTCCAGACTGTTTGGCTCTTGAGAACCCAGAGCTCGCCTGCTGGATGTCGAGGCTCCGTTTCTGTTTTGATGACTTCACGAATGTTTCTCACCGGAAAACCAGGGACTTTCCCAGGGGGCTTGAGTTCATCTGGATGAAGAATATCCACTTCCAGCCAGCTGGCCCTCCTCAGCCACTGTCCTCCTATGCTCTGGGCTTTCAGGACAAGTCCTGATCCTGTAGGAGAAAGACACACCTAGTCTTTCACTTGTCCTGGCATCCCAACTCCCCCAGTGTCACAGGAGGCCTGTGGGCTGTTCAGTTGACTTGTTAGTGATTGCTGTGGTCTGACTTGACGGATTGTTCTTAGTCAGTGTGATCAGGCACCAGACACAGGGCTGGCTGTGACCGTGAGCGCCCTCTTCTGCACAGCGAGGTCTGGCTTCCCAAATGCTTCCCCTACCTTATGACAGGGACCACCTGGGGCAGCTGAACTCACATCAGGACTTGGAAGGAACAGGTCCCCACCCCCAGGACACCAGCCTCCTCTTTAGACCCTGAGCTGTTAGCCACAGAGGGCCTGGGTGCCATGTTTGGCTTCTCCGGAAGAGGCAGTAACAAGTCAGCAGACATCTTGTGCTTTCCTGCCTGGTATTAATAAAGTGGCTTTGGGGCCACCCCTCCTTCACTACAAGTGACCATGACTTTATTGCTTGTGATGTTGGCACTGTATTCCGAAGGCTCACGTTCCGGGTCTCTGTTTAAGGAGAGCTCAGTGCTGAGATGCATGAGGTCCAGAGGCAGCCTTGCTGTTGGATGACAAGATAAGGGATCTTTGTCAGCATTTGAAGACAGCAGCAGCTGGTTTGCTATGGGGTTTTTCATTTTGCTTTGGTTTTTCAAGACAGGGCTTCTTATGTAGCCCTGGCTGTCCTGGAACTCTCTCTGTAGACCAGGCTGGCCTTGAACTCACAGAGATCCACCTGCCTCTGCCTCCCAAGTGCTGGGATTAAAGGCTTGTGCCACCACAGCCCTGCTGTTCTAATTCATGTGTGTGGTATTCTGCCCGTGTGTGTCTGTGTATGTTCTAATTCATGTGTGTGGTGTTCTGCCCGTGTGTGTCTGCGTATGTTCTAATTCATGTGTGTGGTGTTCTGCCTGTGTGTGTCTGCGTATGTTCTAATTCATGTGTGTGGTATTCTGCCAGTGTACCATGTACATGCTGTGCCTTCAGAAGCCAGAAGGCATCCGATCTGCAACTGGAGTTACAGCCAGTTGTGAGCTGCCATGTGGGTGCTGGGCCTTTTGAGGGTGACCAGTGCCCTTAACCACTGAGCCCTCTCTCTAGCCCTTTTTTCTGTTTCTAGACAGGGTCTTGGGTACTCCAGACTGGCTCAGACTCATGTGTGGCTGAGGATGACCTTGAACTCCTTATCCTGGTGCTGAGATCCCAATTGTGTACCACCACATAAGGTTTTTGTTTTTTATCTTTGACATCATCTTGATGCAGTCTGATAGTTTAGAACCTGTCATCCCCCTGCCTTAACCTCGTTAGGGCTAGGATCACAAGTGTGTACCACCAAACGGAGCCAGAGTAGTAGTGCACCCCTGGCTGCTCCTGGTGCATGGAGAGGTGCTAGCCATTGTCATTGAACCAGGACACACTGAAGTTCAGGTGCACAGCTGCTGCAAGCTTCCACATTGCGTCTTTTATGCCCTTAGCGCGCTCTCATTAGAAGACGAAGGTACGTGTCACTGTTGACTGACTCCCAGCCTTGGGTAGTCTGGACACCTTGCCTTCCTCAGTTTAGGACTGTAGTTTCAGGGAAACAGACTTCTGTCCATTCTGGAGGGAAACTGCATTCAGAAAAGTGCTGCCATAGGGTTTCCTCAGAGAACTACTGCCTCATTGTTAACTTCTGGAAAGTGTTTCTGGACCCTGTTTGAAACACGTGGATCTGTCTCGTTTTTGTTCTGAGCCAGGGGCTCTTCTGACGCCATTGAGCCTTGTCCTCAGCCCCACAGATGTGTCTTTGGAAAGTTGTCTAGGAACGTCTTGTGCTAGAGGTGTGGTTCAGATAGTGACAGCCTCAGTGAAGGGCTTGGGGGCATGACTCAGGGATAGAGCCCCCTTCCTAGGAATCCCCCAGTGAGGAAGGAGCTAGAGGTGTCGGCTTTTGGTGGCTTATCTGGTGGTATGCATAGTGAGGGAGAGGTTCTGGGGTGCTTGGTCCTGCCCCAGCATTGAGCCTTCTGTTTGCTTTGTTAAGTGTCTTTCCACCTGGACATACTGATCCCCCGAATGGTTACAATATGGACTTGTTAGCGGCCAGCACCCCCACCCCTGCCTCAGTCACCCTGGGCAGAGGCTCCCTGGAGCAGAACTGTTAACATGTGGTACATGGAGTTTCTATATGCAGGATTACCTTAGTGTCTTACAGCTAATTTTTAAAAGATTAATATTTTTATGTGTCTAAGTGGTGTGCCTGGATGTGTCTCTGTACCATACCCATGCAGTACCCATAGCAGCCAGAAGGGGGTGCTGGATCCCCTGGAGCTGAAGTAAGGGATGTGAGCCACCATGTGGGTGCTGGGAATGGAATCCGGGTCCTGTGCTAGAGCAGCCAGTGCTGGGGAGGTGAGTGCCCTACCCACGGCTGCAGCCTCGGCTCAGGCCATCTTCAGATTTGCTAAGAGTCTGTCTCGCTGACCGGGGTCAGTAATGTGGGGAGCAGGCTGAAGGCCAGCTTCATTTTCTGGTGAGGGGTCTGTAGGGCCCCTGTCCAGGGTATGGGGACTCACTGGTCACAGCCAGGCTCTCCTCTGGAATGGCTGGACCTGAGCAAGGACCCAGCAGTGACAACCAGGCGTTTTCCTTCCTTCCAACCACTTCATTGTCTTCTCTTTTTTTTTGGTTTTTTGAGACAGGGTTTCTCTGTGGCTTTGGAGGCTGTCCTGGAACTCGCTCTGTAGACCAGGCTGGCCTCGAACTCACAGAGATCCGCCTGCCTCTGCCTCCCGAGTGCTGGGATTAAAGGCCTTCATTGTCTTCTTAATCCAATTCGCTTGAAGTATTAGGTACCTCACACTGTCCTAGCTGATGAGAGATGTGTGCGGAGTGTCTGAAGCAGAGCCATGCTTTAAAAAAACAAGACAAACCCAGGCTGTGGTGGTCCAGCACTCGGGAGGCAGAGGCAGGCAGAGCTCTGAGTTCGAGGCCAGCCTGGTCTACAGAGCAAGTTCCAGGACAGCCAGGGCTGCACAGAGAAACCCTGTCTGGAAAATAAAACACAAACAACAAAATAATTGCAGCAGGGCAGTGGTGGCTCACGCTTTAATCCCAGCACTTGTGAGGTAGAGGCAGGCGGATCTCTGTGTGTTTGAGGCCGGCCTGGTCTAAAAAATAAAAAATAAAAAATTGCAAAAAGAAAAAAAAAAAAAAAAGACAAAGTCAGGCCCAGTGATGCAAGTACACAGAACACAGGAAAGTGGACCTGAGGTGTAGGCCAGTCAGGGTGACAGTGACAACCTGTTTCAAACTGAACCTACATAAATAAACTGGATACAAAGGTGACATGGGCAGGTTTTCACACCCAGGGTTTTTCATTATGATGGAGAGGGTAAGCATCAACTGATGTACTCCCCAACTGATGTGCTCCCCAACTGAGGAGCTCCCCAACTGAGACACTCCCCAACTGAGGTGTTCCCCAGCACCAGCATCCTCCTGGGGAGGCCGAGGCTGCTGGCCACTGTGCTGAGCAGCCCAGGTCCTGGCTCCTCTTCAGGGTCCCTGCTATCTGTCTGGCCATAGTGTTAAATAAATCTGTAGCCTCAAGAACAGCCCGTCTGTCTCTGTCCCCCAAATATGTGAGGCAATTGGTGGGTTGCTTTTTTGAGTAAAGGACTATTGGTGGCGCACGCCTTTAATCCTAGCACTTGGGAGGCAGAGGCAGGCGGATCTCTGTGAGTTTGAGGCCAGCCTGGTCTACAGAGTGAGTTCCAGGATAGCCTCCAAAGCCACAGAGAAACCCTGTCTCGAAAAACCAAAAAAAAAAAAAAAAAAAAAAAAAAAGACTGCCTGAAACTGGGTGACATTAAACAATGACATTTCTTACAGTTTTGGAGCTGCAGAGAGGTCGCTTTGAGAGCTGTTAATATAGCAGTGGCCTCAAAAAGAACCCTAGCTGAGGAACAGAAAGTTTCCCACCTCTGGTGACAAAGACCTGGGCACCTGGTTTTGAGCTCCAGATGACTTTGGGCAGACCCAGGGATCCTCCCCTCTGCGCTAAGGTGGTAGCTTCTCCCTGGGGCTCCTATTTTTCACTTTCTCTGCATCTCACACCCTGGCCAGGCTCAGCTGGCACCCTGAGGACTATGGATTCCAGGGTTGCTGCCTGCAGAAGGGGGAGGTGCGGACGATGGCTTCAGGGTCTGGACCCACATACTGTCCACAAGACTCCTTACCTGCAGCTCACTGGGGACAGGCTTGGAGGCTCTGTCCAGGCAGAGAGCTCACGGAATCCAGCTTTCACTGCTAGACCAGAAGCTGCAGGCCTGGCGCTTGTCCCCACCTCACCCACCAAGTCTCCCCTGCAGCTGGGCTGTGGATGGCCATCTACTCCCAGCTGCCCCAAAGGCCTGTGGGGGCCTGTCCCTGCTGCTTCCATCGGTGGCCTCAGGTTAGCCTCACAAGGGACTCTGTGCAACCCAGAGCACTTCCTGGAGCTCGAAGGGCGGTCAGCCAGCATCCCGCTGCCACCAAAGGCACCAGTCATTCAATCCCAAGTGCAGTCCTTGTAAATGGTTTCACCCCACTTCAAGGTTGATAATCCCTAACTGATGATGAGGCACCCCCTGCTCCCACCCATTCCAGTTTAGGGAGGGCAAGCAGGGGCCCGGCTGGAGACAGGAAAGGATACCCACTCACTGTTTCACTAGGAAGTAGAAGTCGGGAGGAGTGAGCAGGTGTGGAAGGTGAGGAAAAAGAGGACCTTCCATGAGGAGCCCACCTCTGAAATCACCCAGGAGGCAAATGCCCTGCATTAGTCTGGGTTCTCTAGAATCCCAGAACTTACGGAACAAATCTCCATATACATATGAAGCATGTAAAGGGATTTGTTGGAATAACTTACAGGCTATTGTCCAACTAGTCCAACAATGGCAGGCTGTGAACAGAAAGTTTAAGAATCCAGTCGTTGCTCAGTCCATGACATCTCAACTGGTCTTCTGTATGTGCTGGAACCCATGCCAGTAGGCTGCAGTGCCAGATGTGCCAGCGAGGTGAGGCCAAGCAGGCCGAGCAAGAGCTCCCAGCAGCAGGTGCAGCCCTTGGGTGTCTCCCCTCCTGAAAGCTCTGGACTGAAAGTGGATTCCAGCCAGGCAGTGGTAGCGCACGCCTTTAGTTCCAGCACTCGGGAGGCAGAGGCAGGTGGATCTCTGTGAGTTCGAGGCCAGCCTGGTCTACAGAGCAAGTTCCAGGACAGCCTCCAAAACAATATAGAGAAACCCTGTCTCGAAAACAAAACAAAACAAATAAATTGGTAGTTGGGTGGTTATGCTTCATGAATTTAATCCCAGCACTTTGGGAGGCAGAGGCAGGTGGATCTCTGACTTCGAGACCAGTTTGGTCTGTAAGAGCTAGTTCTAGGACAGACTCCAAAGCTACACAGATACCCTGTCTCGAAAAACTAG